ATCCCGCTCCTGGGACCCAGGCCTGTGAGTTGCTGGCCAACAGCCACAGCCAAGCGCAAGGCATCATGGGAAAGGGCTCTCGAGGCCGCGCTAGTCTGCGGGAGGAGGTGGGGCCTGGAGTCAGGCCAGTGGGGATAGGCTTAAGGGCAGAACGTTACGAAAGAGGCGGGGATATGGGCGGAGACTACGCCACGCTGTTAGGGACGGAACTAGGTGGACTCTTCAGGGGCGGGGACTGAAGGAGGCCGACTCGAGAGGGGCTGTGGGCGGGGACTGACCCAAAGCAGAGGGGCGGGGCCAGGACCCTCGGGGGGCGGAGCCTGAGGTTGCTCTTTCTAAGGAACCCTCAGAGAGCCTGAAGGTGTGAACTCTGTTGTGACACCCTGCGGGGTGCGTGGCGCTTCAAAATTGTAGATTCCCAGCTACAACCTCATGATACTTGGAGTCAGTCAAGTCTAGACAGAGCCTAGAAGTGAGTATTTCTTTTTTTTTTCTTTTTTCTTTTGGTTTTTTGAGGCAGGGTTTCTCTGGGGCTTTGGAGGCTGTCTCGAACTCACATAGATCCGCCTGCCTCTGCCTCCCGAGTGCTGGGATTAAAGGCGTGCGCCACCACCGCCCGGCTCTCTCTTTTTTTTTTAATATTTTATTTATTTATTGTATACAACATTCTGCTTCCATGTATATATCTGCACATCAGAAGAAGGCACCAGATCTCATAACGGATGGTTGTGAGCCACCATGTGGTTGCTGGGGATTGAACTCAGGACCTCTGGAAGAGCAGTCAGTGCTCTTAACCTCTGAGCCATCTCTCCAGCCCAGAAGTGAGTATTTCTAATAACAGACCCGCAGCGGGTAGATGGAGGGAAATTTAGAAGCGACTTGGGTCCTTTGAAGGAATCTGGAGTTCAATCACATACTCACCATCCTCGAATTCCCTGTCCCAGGTAACTGGCTTTGCCTTCTTTGCTTTTAGATACATCGCAGGAGGTCGCCAGACGACTTCTACCCACGTATTTATGATGAGGGAACAAAAGAACCCTTAGTTTTTTGTTTTAAACAGGATTTCACTGTGTAGCTAGGACTGACCTAGAACTCACAATAGTCCTGCCTCAGTCTCGGATGGCAGGCATGCGTCTCCGCGTCCAATCTCCCTTTCTGTCTTTATGATTTTATGACTTGGGAGGTTTTCTTCAAGTCTTTCTTTTTTTGAAAGGTTTATTCATTTATATATTTTATATATATAGCTGTTTTGTCTGTATGCATGCACACCAGAAGAGGGCAACAGATCTCATGAGACTACAGTCATAGACAGTTGTGAGCCTCCATGTGGGTGCTGGGAATTGAACTCAGGATCTCTGAAAGAGCAGCCAGTGCTCTTAACAGCTGAGTCATCTCTCCAGCTCCTCAAGTCTAAAGTCCCATGCTTCCAACCATTCCTTGAAAAGTCCTCAAAGTCCTCTTGTACAACTGCAATCCTCAATGAACCCAATGTAATTTTTTGACATTTGACTTTTTTAAAAGTCAAAATGTGGCGGGGAGGTGGTGGCACATACCTTTAATCCCAGCACTTGGGATGCAGAGCAGGTGGATCTCTGTGAGTTCAAGACCAGCCTGGTCTACAAGAGCTAGTTCCAGGACAGGCTCCAAAGCTACATAAGGAAACCCTGTCCTGAAAACAAAACAAAAAACAAAAAAAGTCAAAATTAGATTTCATATGCTCAAACATTTTGCAAGCCTTGGGGACACTGGTGACCATTTGTGTTAGGCTTTTTTTTTTTTTTTCCATCGTAGTTCCATGTTTTGCCCTAACATTATTTAACATATCCACCTAGGGGCTGGAGAGATAACTCGGCCCTGTTCTTACAGAGGACCAGGGTTCAGTTCTCAGCACCTGAATGGTGGCTCGCAACCTCTGTAACTCCAGCTCTAAAGGATGCAAACCCAATTCTAGCCCCCTGTGGGCACCTGCATGCATGTGTGCACCCACAAATAAAAGTGCAAATCCAAGTATGTCACTTCCATTATTAAAAACTAAGCAAAAGTAACTAGTACATCCACCTGTGCTGGAGTTTCTTCCCATTTTTATTGGCATGGCAACAAGCATTCCCAAACCGAATATATTACAGTTGCTCATCCATTTACTGGTTAGTAGAGTTTGGTTTGTTTTCAGTTTTCAGTGATTTTATAAAGCCACCCTAACAGGCTCACTATAGACTTTAAGTGGGCATTCGTTTTCATTTACCTTGGATGCCCTGCCTAAGAGTCCATTCTATGGGTGTGTTTGTAAGAAACTGCCAAACTTTCCTCCAGAGTGACTTTTCAGTCTTGTTTTTCCCACCAATAATCTGTTAGCTCCAGTTTCAGAAGTTCCTGAAACACTGGGAGTTTAGATATACTCGATTTTATTTCCGTTTTTTGTTTTTGGCTAACTTGAAAGCCTTTGTTATCTCATTATTGGTTAATTAGTTTTTTGTTTGTTTGTTTCTAAGCCAGGATCTCTCATGTAGCACAGGCTGGTCTGGAACTCAGTGTGTAAGTAAGAATGACTTTGAACTTCTGGTTTTCCTGCTCCTGCCTCCCCAGTGGATGGGATAGCAGGTGCATGTCACCATACCCAGTGTATATGACAGCAGAGATAAACTTAGGGCTTCATGCGTACTACATAAGCATCCTAGATATTCCTAGATATTTGTTTGGAGAGAGAGAGAGAGAGCCTTACTGTACTGTGTAGCCTCCATCCTTTCCAATACAGCCTCCCTGGGTGTTGGAACTGCAGGTGTGTGTATCTTCAACCTAGCTTCAGTTGGCTTTTAATCCCATTGATATAAAGAGACACACTGACTTTGTAGTTTAATGCAGAGGTACCAAAAGCACCTAGAGTCTGAGGCCAGATGTCATGACTCACTTGGAAGGCTCAGATAGTAGGATAATTCCAAGTTCAAGGCCACCCTGAACTACATGGAAAGATCTTGTCTGAAAGAAAATAAGGAAGAAAGGTGCATATAATTCCAGCACTGGGGCGGGGTGTGTATGTGAAGGCAGGACGATCAGGAGTTCAAGGTCCAGCTTCAGCTACAAGGCAAGGTCAAAGCTAAGCCTGAGCTATGTGACACCCTGTCTAAGAAAAAAAATACAAAGAGCTTCAAAAAGTGGGATCAAACTACCCTCTTATTCCCTTGAGATCCACTGCTCTCCCCTCCCCAACTTCTGTTTGGGGTTATCAGTTGTAAACATGTTTTCATCCTTGTTCTGGGGGACCTGCAAGAAGTTCCTCTTTTGGGCCCTTCTTCCTGAGGCCTTGTGGTGCCTTGTCACCCGGAACTGCTGCTACAGCTTGTGTTACAGCACATTCCACCCATGACCCCAAATTTATTGGAAAGAATGGACAGATTTAAATGCAGAATTGAGGCTGGAGATATAGCTTGGTGGTTAAGAATGCTCACTGCTGGGCTGGAGAGATGGCTCAGAGGTTAAGAGCACTGACTGCTCTTCCAGAGGTCCTGAGTTCAATTCCCAGCAACCACATGGTGGCTCACAACCATCCCTTATGAGATCTGGTGCCCTCTTCTGGTGTGCAGATAATACATGGAAGCAGAATGTGGTATACATAATAAATAAATAACATCTTTAAAAAAAAAAAAAAGAATGCTCACTGCCCTTGTATAAGACTGGGATTTGGTTCCTAGCATCCACTCCAAGCAACTCACAACTGCCTGTAAACCTACCTCTAGGGGACTAGACTCTCTCTTCTGGCCTCTTTGGGCATCTGCATGCAGGCTCACGAAGGCACACACGCATGCATAATTAATAAATCCCTAAAAGAAATCATAGAAAATACATTATTAATGGGCCACTGTGTGGTTTATTAAATGCCAGGCATGGGGATAAGCACCTGCAATCCCAGCACTCAGGACCCTAAAGCAGGCAAGTTCAAGGCCAGTGTGAGCCATATAGTGAGACCCCCCCCCATCCCAAAGACAAGCAGGCACAAATCCCCTGGAATTCTGAACCAAATTAACTTCTTTACAAATTAAGGAGAAAAAAAATGAGCAAATACAAGACAGGATAAGTCTTTGGCTTCTGATGTTGCAGATGTCCCTTGAATTACTGGGTTTTGGTGCCCATCTCACCCTAGGAGCCTTTCTGGGGTTCATCAGTCCCAGCTGGCTTATTACTAAGCAATTCCTTCAACAAGGCTTGGGGTTTTTCCACTCAGCAAGACCATTGGTCTTATCTTCCAAGAAGTACCTGGGATGTGTGGTGAGCAATGTCTCTCCCATTTTCTCTGTGTGTACATTTGATTCCTTTATCATCATTTTAGGAACGTGTCTCTGGGACTGACAACTTCAGACTTGCCCAGCTTGTTTCTGTGTTTGAGGAAACATCCTATGTCAGGTGTGAAGAGGCAGAAGAAAGATGAAAAGAACACATTCTATGATGAGTGGCATTGAATGAGGCTGAGGCGGTCGGGGGGGGGGGCGTTATGGCAAAAATCTCTCCACCTTTTGTTTGATTTTGCTATGAATCTAAATTGCCCTTAAGATATGTTAAAGATCAGACACAGGCCAGACATGGGGTACACTGCTTTAATCCTAACACTCAGGGATGGGAGGCAGAGGCAGGTGCATTTGTGAGTTTGAGGCCATCATTATCTACATAGAGAATTACAAGTCAGTCAAGGCTATACAATGAGATAGTATTTAAAAAACAAATTCAAGTGGAAACAATACACGCACACACACACACACACACACAGAGAGAGAGAGAGAGAGAGAGAGAGAGAGAGAGAGACAGATCCTGTTAAAATCCAGTTAAAGACTCATTATTGGCAGTTGTTGCCAAGCTGGATAACCTGAGTCTGATTTCTGAAACCCACACGGTGGGAAGAGAGAACTTCCATTTGTTTTCCTCTGAACTCCTTACA